CCGCGGGCCAACGGCTATAAAACGGCTAGTTTTTTGCCAAAAATTCTATAAATACTCACCTCCATTTCATTCCCAAATCACAAAATCACAATCTCTTCTTCTTATCTCTTATATTCTCTAAATCTCTAATAATCCTTATTTTCTTAAATTCTCTAATTATTCTCTTAAATTCTCTAATTATTTTCCTAATATCGGAAAAAATTAAAAAGTTCGTAATCGTAATTAGTGGAGCGTTGAAGCACGGTTGTAAGATCTAAACTAATCTTAAATTTATTATTGTTTTATTGTTATTATTAGAATAATCTTGTTTAATTATTATTGTTGTTAATTGTTATTGTTGTTGTTATAATTGTTGTTATTAATTATTATTATTGTTACAATTGTTGTTATTATTTATTTTTGTTGTTATTGTTATTGTTATAGTTGTTGTTATTAATTAATATTATTGATATTTTTATTGTTAAAATTGTTGTTATTAATTATTATTATTATAGTTAACCACTTTTTATTAAAAAATTAATTGTTAATTATGGCATCGAACAACCCATCATCTAGGTCTAGGGGGAAAGGCCGACTTATCCGTAGTAGTAGTTCTAGGGAACCACCAAATACAACGAGCCCCCAAATTACGAGTCAAACCAATGACCCCATTTACTTCCCCCGGGGCTATGAGCCATATAATACGTCGGGATTTCCAGCACCACCACTAAACCAATTTCCACTACCACCATACCAATTTCCACCTAATTATATCGGTAATCAACAAAACTATTGTTCTAGCCAAGGTAGCCAAGAAAGTACCCGAATTCCCTCCGGTTCTACCCCTTCTACTGCCACTCCCACTAGTCCCACTACTAACCATCACACACATCATGAATGGTTAACCGAAACTGAGATGCTACTTTTGAAAAACCGAAGGAGTGAGGTATGGCGTTATTTTGTCCTAAGTAAAGATGGTGAACAATGGGCAAAATGTAAAACATGTAATAGTGTATTCACGGCAGTTACCAAAAACGGGACGGGACACTTATCTAGACACATGAAAGCTTGTGCAAAACCAGCTAGTGATCCAACCCAGCCCAAAATTTCCCAATTCCATCCATACGGCTTTACATACAACTATGAGAGGGATAGGGATGAACTAGGAAAAATGATAGTACACGCCGAACAACCTTTTCTTTTCTCGGAAAGTGACGCATTCAACACCTACATTAACAAAGCACTACAACCCCAACATAAAAGAATCTCTAGGAAAACCGTTCGTTCCGCCGCAATGAAAAATTTCCTAGAGTACAAAGTCCGGTTACAAGCCGAATTGAGTAACCTTAACTGTAGAGTATCTTTAACAGCCGATTCTTGGGATAGTGGTTATAAATATCACTATTTATGTGTGACTTGCCATTGGGTAGATGATCAATGGATGTTACAAAAAAGAATAATACATTTCAAAATGCTGGAATACCCACACACCGGCATTAACATTGCTCACCATTTAATGTAAGCAATAGACGAATACAACCTTCGAGATAAAATGATGTCTATGACTTTTGATAATGCAACCTCTATGACATACACAGCTAATCTTATCAAACAAAACTTAACCGATGTACTATTAGACGGTGAAGCTCTTCATAGTAGATGTGTTTGCCATGTACTTAACTTATGTGTACAGGATGGAGTTCGGGCAATTGGCCCATACTACAGCAAAATCAGAGATGCTATTATGTCTATTAATAGCTCTAACACGAGATACCAAGAATGGAAGAGTTTTCTAAAACAACAAAAGATAAGGGTAATAAAAATTAGAACCGATTGCCCAACTAGGTGGAATTCCACCTATGACATGTTAACAAAGGCAATTGAGTACAAGGGCCCGTTAACATTATTTTACAACCAAAAATTTCCACAAAATGCTTTGTATGATGATGATTGGAAAAACTGTGAAAGATATATGCAATTTTTACAGTTATTATATAACATGACGTATTGTTTTTCTACTGTTTACAATCCTTGTGCTCAAAACTTTCTTTCTAATGCATGCTTACTCGCCCAACTTTTCGCTGATCATCGCGATCAAAGTGATTATGATCAGTATCTTCCAGCAATGGAAAAAAAGTGGCGTAAATATTATAGTGAGATTCCTTTGATTTATATTTTTGCTTCCATATTAGATCCTAGGAAAAAGTATGAAAACACATTTATGTTAGTTGACATTTACTTTCAATGCATGTTTCTTGACGATGATGTAGAAAACTATAAGACTAATGTGAAGGATTAGTTTTTTGCTTTATATAGAGTCTATGAAGCCAAATATGGCACCGTTCCTCGCTCAGGGCCTTCCCAACCATCCAAAAACGTAAGTAAGAAGGCCAAACATTTATTTTCACAAGCTACTAACTTGATTTCAAGGTTTTCAGGTGATTCATCAATCAGGAGAACGCAAAGCGACGTCTCGGAGTTGCAGATGTACCTGAGTTACGACTTCACCAAAGGCATGGACGACGATGAGATAAACAGCCTCGACCTCCTTGCATGGTGGAAACAACAAAGCTCGAAGCATCCAACTTTGGCGGCAATGGCACGAGACATTCTTGCTATCCAAGTTTCCTCCGTCGCCTCCGAACGAGCTTTCAGCGCATCCGGAAGGGTTTTAGACGATAGAAGAACAAGTCTAAAACCCGAAACACTAGAAATGTGCGTGTGTTTCAAAGATTGGTTGGATGCGGAAAATCGCTCACAAGACCGTTCTTACGACCACAACGACAACGAAGAAGGAACCTCCGCTTCCGGTTCGGGTTCGGCTAGTTCCCAATCTATGCAACTAGCCGATGACCTTGAAGGCGAAGGCGAAGACGAAGACGAAGACGAAGACGAAGACGAGCAAGAAGAAGGAGAAGAAGAATAGACAATTATTGTATATTGTACGATTTTAAAAATATCAATTTTATCATTTTCCAATTTTTGTTTAATACCATCATTGTATGATTTTTATCATTGTTATCATTGTACAATTTTCTCAACTCAAGTAATAATAATATAAAGTACGCATTATTCACATCCAAAGTCCAATTTGCCTTTTTTCCCCGTTTTGTTACAATTTGTAAATTCATATTAAAATAAAATAAAATTATACCAATTACTAATAAATCATAAACATTAAATTTTAAAGTAATAGTATAAAGTAAATATATAAATATAAATATTAAATATACAAATTATAAAACATAAATATTCAACTTATAATTATAAAATTCATAACTTAATAACTTATAACTTATAAGTTATAAACTTATAAGTTACCTTATAAAACTTATAATTATAATTTTATAACTTATATACATTATAAACTTATTAATTTATAATATTGTCATTAAAAAAAAAAAAAAAAAAAAAAAAAAAAAAAAAAAAAAAAACTGCACCAGCCCGCGCAGGCCAGGCACGAGGGCCGTGCCGTGCTGTGGGCTGGCCTGTGAAAATGGCCGGCACGGCACGGCACGAAATCCTGGGCCCGCCGGCACGACCGGCACGGCACGAACCAGCCCGTGGCCCGCCAGGCACGGCCCGCGGCGGCCCGGCACGGCACGGTGCCCAGGATTAGTCATCGGCGACCCCATCGTAAAGGACTAAAGGGTTCCTTGATTGAACTTTTGGCCCATCTCGTGTTTATGTTATAATCGCCTCGTTGGTGTGTTTGATATGTCATATGTGTTGCTTTGAGAAATTAGATCTAACTCTTTTTGTTCCGAATTTATAACGGTTACCCACTTCTAATATTTATGGGTATAACTAGGGGGCTAACGTGCGTCATATCTAGTTATGTTTAAAAAGCTTTTTTAAGAGTATAAATATTTGCACACTATTTTTAAAGGTTTCAAAAAAAAAAAAAAAATCAACAATAATGAGGTCAAATAAGTAAACACACATTTTAGGGGCATATAGTTAAACAAATATTTTAGGGATATAAAATCGTCCTCACATTATTCATAAGTGTTTTCTCATACTTTTTAAAAGGTAGAGATATAATTGTATGAATAAGCCATTTATGAATAGTTGAATCAATTATATACAATGGCATGTTTAATCGTAAATTATTGTTGTACTTAAAAGATTTAGTAAGCACTAATTACATTGATTTTAGGGATTGTTCTAATACTTCGTACCCCCATAACATTTATGTTTATAGAAGTTATTATTAGCTACTAGCTAGTATGACTATACGAGTAGTACCTTAGTTGGAGGTGTATAAATCAAAACCACAAATTAAGGGTTTGTTTAGCATCGTTGTGGTTTTCTGTTTTTTTTGGTTTTTTGTTTTTTCAAAATCATATGATATATATTATATAATGAATTAAAAATTAGTCAAACTTATTAAAAACATGATAATTATAAAAATTGACAATAGAAAAATAAAAACATCTTGTTTTTGGTTTTTTGTTTTAAAAAAAAAAAAAAAACAAAAAAAAAAAAACAAAAGACAATGTCAAACGAACCCTAAACGAGTAAAGAATAATTGGAATATGGGCATATGCCAATAAATAAAAACATACCACATACGAAATATTTATTGGGATTAGCCGGTGTTACATGTGCTGAAATCAAAGCTCGATATGTATAGTCTTGCACATGTTAGTTATCGACGGCAAATTAGCTGTACCTTCCTCCCTTCCCATTTGCGTTGAAATCGTTAATGGTAGAATATTTGTCCCAAATTATTAGATAATCTTCTTTGGTAGATTCGATTTTGGAATTTTGAAAGAAGCGATCCCATTAAAAGCGAGCTTACATTATATATTATGCTCTTAGATTACGATTATTAAATAAATGGTGTGTAATCACAATCCACTGCTCGTAAGTCCAAATTACAACACAGCGAATCACGATGAGATTGAGCTAGTAGAGCAGTATATTGCCCTGCGGTCTAGGGTAAAAATGATGCATTTATTTTGGACTAGAGGGAGTAATATGTTTAAAGGCAATGATGCAAAAGAAGCCCAAGAAAATAAGGAATATTATGAACAAAATATTGAGAGTATTGATACAATAATCCGAAATACTTCGTACATTGGCAAGAGACCAAGAGTACATTATATTTTACATTTCGAGAATAATCATCGAAAATAGAGTGTAATTTATCTATACATGTAAAATGTCCTAACATTTAACTTACAAAGAATTTAACATATATTGAATCAAGCCTGCACTCCACTTCTATACAAATCCAATCCTTTCAATGGAGAGCTCAATACATTCGTTAATGTTGAATGTTCTGTAATCGAGCACAGCTTATTCACAGAGTATTTAGTATAATTGTCAGCTGTCTAAGGGAACCTAGCATTACCCTGCTTGCTTAGATGCTTCTTTCAGACTAAGCTTCTGTTGTTCAGGTGCCTGGGTATGAACTGCCTGTGCTTGAGAGAATGATAAATGCACAGACTACAGAGAGGGAGAAAACAGAAACCCAGGTGTTTTCTGTGTACATTTCCATTGCATCAGTGAAAGAAAAACGGGTACGATTCTCTGCCCAATTCCTAATTCGATCAGCTTCAGCTGCATACAACGCCCTTCCCTGAAATACATGCAGTAGATGATACCAGTATTACTGACAATCAATCCTAAATAGGTAGCAAACTTTCATGATTATGGTCCAAATGAAGTGTCCAAATGCCCATACTTCCATTCAAAAAAAAAAAAAAAATGTCCATACTTCCATTCAAAAAAAAAAAAAAATGCCCATACTTGATCCGGGTACTTTATTAAGAGTCCAAGTAACGTAGCTTCTTAAACAACTCTTCTTTATTAACAATTTGTTTGTAGGTTAGACTAATTTTGTGTCCAGCTACTGTTTAAGTCCATCAGATCTTCCCAAATGAGTACTAGTAAGTTGATATTGGTATCCTATTCTCATCCATTACTTGAAAGATGTTTCTTAAAATTTCCCATTGTTTATTGCTTCCATATATCTAAAGTTCATTAAACCACCAAAAAAGTCTACAAACAAGTGCAAATATGGAAAGCCAGGGCCCACTCAGGTTCAAATGCAATAGGTTAAAGCCGTTTGTCAGGATCATATCATGGGTTAGGCGATAATCAGTAATACCTTATCATCAAACCAGCGACCACGTCGTAGCCATGAAGTGACCAGAGCAAGCAAAATTCTGGGAGGTGTCAAGTAATTGATAGCCTTTCCGCTGCCTTTCACCACCCTCATGCGTGGGACCAAAGATCTAGCAACAGTCTCTGGAAGCTCGCAGATAATGTTAAACATTTGCTTATTCTTCAGACTGGAGCCACTGCAGGTGCAAACAGTCATATGCATAAGTTGAAAAATAAGTGCATGACCACTGAAGTAAGTGCTCCCAAGTCTCAAAACAGATCAGGAATATATAGTTATCAATACCAAAACCAGGGATACTATAAAGTCCAACAATGTAGGGAGTACAAACACTAAACATAAAACTATAAAAGACAAGCATGTTGAGTATATAGGAGGACTGAGGACTGTGGAGAAAATATTAACTTCGTATATGAATGTATGTTACATTAAAAGGAAGGTCTTGAGAGCTTTTGTAATTATCATTGAAAATCTTGATTCCCATAGTGCAACTTTGTGGTTTTTTTACTCTTCTCAAGCAAAGAGGAGGTTTTTCCACTTTAAAATTTGTTGGTACAGTTCAAGATTTCAAATTGAAGTTCAATTCTTTAAATTTTGATCACGGCCAAGCTCACTTAGGTAGCAACTGGTGCTGGAAAAAGATATTTAATATGAGTCATGTACCTCAACAGTAACTCTGTCAGCACCATGCCAGGCGACGCTGTATGGACACCTATCTTGGTCCGCCTGCACTCCTTCAAGAGTGAGGATTGAAGCTGTCGCAGACCACATTTTGTTGATCCATAGCTGTTAGTAAAATAGGAATTTTTTTAGCTAAAATAACAGTTCCAAAAGTCTTAGCAAGGTTTTACTCAACCTTTCAGGCTTGGATGGAATATGTATTACAACTTACACAGCTGTCAAAGGGGTACTAGAGCCCCCAGAACCTGCACCATCCATGTTAAATATGTGGCCTCCCTTTTTCTGGCTTGTAATTACCCGCATAGCTTCCCGGGTACAGATTACAGACCCAACTAAGTTAGTTGATACAATCTACAGATAACCCAAAAGTGTCAATAGATCAGCTTCGATCTTAAATAGTAGTCACCTGTTTCAGCATGTTTCTAGAAAATAGGAACAGTATTAGAAGACATGCACACTCACAAATTCACAATTAAGGTGTATGGACAAAATTTAAGCAAAAACGTTTCATCAAAAGATAGGGTGCATCTAAATGTCTCAAAGTATTCCAAACATATTGAGCACAGGCCCCAGCTGATTATTTTATACACTATAAACTTCGATAAGAGTAGATGCGATCATAGTAAGCCGCCAATTTATGTTTCGAAAATGACACAGTAGCTGAAAATTGGGCTTCAGATCACTGAAAAATTAGCCATATTACAGCTCAGGAACTAGAAGATAAACTTCAACAGAATTTTTTTGAGAACCTAAGCTGCTAGCGGCCAACTGATCACTGACCAGTCATATTATAAGAATTCATGCATAAAAAAGTAGAAGCACACCTGCTTTATATCATCGTCTGTAAACTGCAACAAGGGTCTGAATCCTTTATTTGTTCCCGCATTGTTTATCTGTCAAGTATTATTAATAGCTTATAGAGATACTCGTATAAAATGAAAAATGTATGAGATGAAGAGATGCTTGCTAAGTGTAATTTATTCATTTTAAGCCACAGGTATACACAAAAGGAATTTTGAATAAGGACAACATAGGTATATTAGACAAAGCAAGGTCACCAGTTTATATAACAGTGACACGAGACAAAATTGGTTGTCCCTTCTGTTTATATCTCACAAATCCACATTGGGCTGGGGTAGGGCTTTAGATTGAGCAGTCATACATTAAGGTTTTGTAATACAAGATAAAGAGTATGGATTGAAGAAAGGCAGGAGAGTGGGAAGGAAACACTTTCAAATTACACAATATTACCTTAGGAATGATACAATCTGCTCCAACAATCTAGTGAAGCAGCAAATATAGGTGTCAAGGAGCTAAAGATCTTAAGAAGTGAAAAGAAATGCCAACCTAATGAGAATGGAGAGTTGGAGACTACATTAATTATCATGCTTTAAGCAGAAAACATTTGCATCAATTAGAGTTTAGTAGTATAGTCAGCGGTCACCAAACAAAGTGCTTTTAATATACACATCTCAAGCATTTGATCTTTCACGCTCACAAGTATCAGCAATTCAGCAGCTAAATAGCTTAATCATTTACCACAGGATATCATTTTCAGAAACAATATTAATTTTAAACTTTTATTTTTTTGTTAATGCTGTCCAACAGTATCCACGTGTCAAATAATTACATCTTGCACAACATGTTTTAGACAGTCAAGTAGTAGAGGATTGTGCAACAATATTAATTATCAACTGAGTTGTTTACCAAAGACCCAAGTCATCTAGAAGGAACCCTCCTAAGCTGAAATCCTCTCTGGGTTCAGGATTGAAAATACCTAACCAGATAAGGGGAATCTCACCTGAAATCAGTCTAGGTTGTCAAAATTGCCTCGCTTGGCAGATGACTTAATGGTTGCCTATTTAGCTAGACCTTTCAAACTGTGACATAAAACGACCAACATAAGGTAGTCAAATTTTTTTAAGGCATCCACAAACCACATCATTTTAGACAACGTACATTAATGTTCTCTGTACAATAATATCGGAATGTGTCTAGCTGACTTGAAATTCACAGTTAATCTGCTATACTAAGGTTGAAGATAAGAACAAAGTGCTATAGGCTGCAAAAAAAACCTTGGGAGGAAAGGCATACAGAGTATCACTCACCCATATGTCAACTGAGCCAAGTTCATTTACAGCGAAATTAGCTAGCTTTCTCACATCATTAGGGTCACAAACGTCACATGGTATGCCTACTACTTTTGCATATCTCTGACTTTTCCCATTTACAGCTTCCAATTCCCTTAGATTTTCTTCAAGCTCTTTGACAGAGTCATCCACTGAATCAGCACTGTCTCCAAGGGAGTGAAATGTGAGTTTGATATAAAGAAGAAAGAGAAGAAAGTTGACCCTTAATTTCCAGAATACAACCTGCGTGAAGTCACAACCACTCGGTCTCCAGAAAGAAGAAACTCTCTAGCAAGTGCTTTGCCAAGTCCTCTAGTACTGCACCAATTAATGTGGGAGTAAGACTAAGCAGAAAAGAAAAATAACCATCTTCACAAGGACAAGTCAAGCATAGAGAGGAAATGAACATCAGCATCAGGCATAGTACCTCCCAGTTATTACAACATTCCTTGGACCAGCTCGGCTATGCTCGTCCATAACCATGTTTGCCCCTACCATAGTCCCAATTATAACCCCTCCAAGCCAACTATACCAGATCAAGTCATTCATCTCACCACCTTTACATTATGAAAATGCAACAGTCAGCCGGTGAATTTACAAGAATTTAGGTATGTGAGGAAGAAGCATCAAATGTAAACGCAATGCTAACCTGACAATTGAAATCCAGTTAGCAGAACAACGCCCGTGCTCATCATGGTTACAATATATCTCCCAATATGTAAAGCAGCCTATATTCATAAAGAGCAACAAAAAGCTTCAGTAACTAAAGAGAATCAAGAACTTAGACAGCAAAATCTATGTTGGAATGCCTTGAATCTGGCACTCCAAGTGATAGGGGATCTCGCTGGTCACACATGAAACTCCCAGTATTTGTTATGTTCGTTGGACTACAGACCTACGATTTTCTGTTTAGGCTTATTTTCAAACCTATCTAACTTCTATCTTGAGCCTTGATGAATATCATATGTTCATATAATCATATAGTCCCTTACACTTAACCTAGCCTAATTTTTTAATCCTTAATCCTTGAGATCAATAAACCTTCGTCACTTTTGCCTATTGGATTTCGCTAAAGCATTGTTAATGAACCACGTTAAAAATGTGTGCTTGTTTGCTAATTCCATTTATCTTTCTAGCATCCGTTATAACAAACTCATTGTGTATGGAAGAAATATCAATTAGAGACAAAATGAAAGGCCATGCAAGTACCACAATTAATTAATATGTGATTGTAACAAGATTCCATATTTTCAAATTTCTGGAAGAGATTCCCATAACATCCAATATAAAAAAACAATTAATATTGGCATCAAGAAAACCTATGAAAGACACAATCACCATCCAAATAAAAATCTATCATTTCCTAGAATTCTACCAACTGAAAGAGGCCAGACTTATATACATATCTCAAATTTGCAGGCTTAGCTTGATAGGTGCTAATGCTAAATGAATAACTTCATTGATAGAAATGCTAATAGAAACTGTTTTGCAACTTCTGGAAAATTATCCAAAAATTAAAAAATCAGTCACTATAATGGTATAGGCATATCATTCAACACGGCCGTGTTTCGTAAGCGACTAAGCGGTAATAGTAATGGATTTGTATGTAATATTACGAGTTCAAGAAAAGAAAACATACCGAGAAAAGAACCTTCTCAAGCTCAGCCAGTGCATCCCTATTCTCATCCCCAGAAGGAAATTTACACAATCTCACAATTCCCGACTTAATTGAACTACAAATCTCCCTTCCATTCCCTTTAATTTTCAACACCAAATCCAAATTCCTTTTTCCCCTTTCTCTCTCCTCACTCCCCTCACTCCCTTCTTCCTTAAATCCCCTGCAAACTTTCCAACACCTTCTTCTTCTACTCTTTCTAGAAAGACCCAGTACCGGAAAACTTCCCGGAATCGACAATTTCCGGCGAATTTCCGGTCGGAGTGGCAATTGGATATCTGGGTATGATCCCATTTTTGTAAGGGTGGCCATTTTTGGGCCAAAGATAGAATCTTTTTTAAAAATTTAGGTTATCCTGCTAAAACAATTGTTGTAGATGTATATACAATCTGTAAATATACAGAATTCAGAAAAAATGGTAGAAGAAGGAAGATAAAGGAAGAGCATAAATATCTAAATCCTGGTAAATTGGAGAAGAAGATTGGAGAGAGAGAGGGAGTGGTGGGGAAGAAGAGAGTGTGATGTCCACACGTTAAAGCAAAGTTTCTTTAAGGCTTGGATTTGTAATTTTATGGTTCCACGTAGCCAACAATGTTTGTATGTTCTTTAGCCTCCTCTTTCTCTTCACGTAAGTTGACCTATTTCCATTTCTACTCCCTCTGTCCCTTTATTTTTGCCCCATTGTTATTTTTTGGGTCAACTTTGAAAATTTTGACAATAATTTATCGTTAATCTATAAAAGATAATATAGTCATGAGTGATCTTGTTAGACCGCGCACAATCAAATAAGGCAAAAAATAGGGACAGAGGGAGTACTTAACAACCTCTTCGTATGAAAATATGAAATGCACTTATTTGTACTTATTAGCTCTAACAACAAGTATCTCTTCATCGGAAGTATAATGATCTATAACATGAAGTGTTCCGTAAAATAATGTGTAATCGATAAATTTAAAGTCCAATTTTCGATGAATTTACAAGAGTGAAATAGGCTTATATATTGTAAAATAGGTAAGGGAGAAGGACCCTGACCGATCTCAACCCTCACAATTTTGCTGGTCTTGTATTTGCGAGTTGGACCCTTTGAAAGTGAGGAGAGAGTAAGGGATTCCCACCTTCAAAGTGTCCATAATGGGGATTGAACCCCCAACCTACCCATTAGACCAATCTTAGTTTAGTTCCATTGAAATGAATATGGACACTATATTACGAGATATAGGGAGTAGTACTGTATTAATTCGATCAAAATTAGGGATGGCAATTATTAATGGATATCCGAAAACCCGATCCACCCAATATAAATAAATGGATGAAAATCCGCGTTAAATGGATGAAAGGCGGGTGACGGATCGAGTCGGATTCGGGTGGAGCTCCATTTCCGTCACCCAATCCGTCATCGGTTTATCATCCGTTTTCACCCGAAAATATAAAAAAAAAAATTATTAAATTTTTTTTAAAAACTTGTATACTGTACATATATTTCTAAGAAAATTTATTTCATAAAAATATAAAAGTCCCCTATTTTCTGAAGCCCTAACCCAAATTAATTGAAGACTTTGAACGCCTCCACACGGGTGGCGGGTGGAGCGGGCAGAGCTGATGGAGTGAGCTGGTGGATACGAATGAAGCTCCATTCGATCCGAATCCGATCCGAATTAAAATTCAATCCGGTCAGTAAAACCAATCAAAACAAAGGCCGACCACTTCTAAGCCAACAACCACTGACTATTTGGTAGGCCATTTTGTGGGCTCCAAATCAAGCCCATAAAATGTTACTACAAGATGAAACAACATTGGACTCATGAAATCCAGTCCAGGGATTAATAACACTGTTGATGAGATCCTATGCTAATTATTTTATTTTATTTTTTTGAAAAACAAGTATGCTAATTATTGGCATCACATTAATAACATTGTTTGCATGTTGATTGAATAAATGCAACAACTTAACGTGCAAAATTAGTTGTTGAAATCGACATCACTATCAGTAATTTGCTGTACTATAGCAGGCTGCAACTAAGGAGTAGTATTATCCTGCCTTTTGGAGGTTATTATCCAGTTTACACAACCGTCCACATGAATTACATGGTTTATTCTTCTTCTTCTTCTTCTTATTATTATTTTTAAATTTTAATATTGCAAATCCAAATTCCAAAATTGACTAATATTGGATAGATTATATATTAGCTGGAAACCAAATACTCCGTAGTAGGCTTGCATTCATAACACTTGAGTAAGTTTGCCCAACCCTGTAATTGCTAAATGACAATACTTCAATTTGTTATATAATGGTTAGAATCACGTAGTGTAGACATTGATTGAGAGTAATACGATCTCATAAGTACCTTGATCAAGATCATTGTTTATAAATTTATATGCATACTTTGTATCATTCCTCAATATAATAAAGTATAAATTTAAATAAATTCAACGTCAAAGTCAATATGTTTTGACCACTAAAGTCATACACGACCTGTTACATAAAGACGGACGACAATTAGTATTACTCTATAGATACCAAGTACAATCTCTTTCAAACATAAGACCATGATGATGGCTAGGAACTTAGAATCTCATTTAATATAGTTGCATCAATCAACACTAATTAAAACCTCATTATGGCTTCAATCAAGACCAATTGCTTTATATTCAAGCTAAGCAAGTTTCACAACAATGCTTTACTTCTACAAAACCCCATTTTTTTTAAGGTAAGCTGAAGACACCCCATTTTCTCATATGGCCATACCTTCACATATTTGAACCCAATCCGAGTTAGTGAACAAGATTCCTTGAAAGCGAGGGGATTTAATTATATGGTTTATGGTAGTTATATTGTACGTAGGGTGGTAAGTATAGTAAGTGGTAAAGCAAGCCATCGCGTTGATAGATTTGGACCTTCCAAATCCCAATAAAAACGAGTCATCTTCCTCAGTGTCCCGCTTTTAACTCCGACACGAAAATTCCCAGAAAACGCAACGCCTTTCTTCTTCTTCCTCCTCTGTATAATCGTCTTCTTTTGCTACTTTCTCTCTTCTCTGTTAAACCAAGGAGAGAGAGAATAGAAAGAGGGACAAAATTGATCATTTTATTAGTAGAAAGAGAAAAATGGCGCCTGCTATGGATCAACGCCCAAGATCTTTGAAGCCTATCACCATTCATGGATATGCTCAGTCTGGTGATCTTGTTGGCTTTCAGAGATTGCTAAAAGAAAACCCTTCTCTTCTTAATGAACGTAATCCTGTGGTATGTTCTTCTTCTTCTCTTTAGTAATTTGTGAAATGGGGTTTTGATTTTTGATGAATTTGTGAAATGGGGTTTTATTTTGTGTTGAATTTGGGGAATTGGATGTTATTTTTGCTGTTTTATTTTTATTTTTATTTATTTATGTTGTGAGCTTTGTCGGTGCTAAATTATGGTTTTTGATGTGATTTCTGGTTGGATTTTTATTGAGTTTTGGAAATGTGGTTTTGATTTTGTTGAATTTGGGAATTAGGGTTTTGGTTTTTGTTTAAAATGAGAAATGGGGATTTCTGGGTGTTAGTTTTTGATGATTGTTTGAGCTTTGTCGGTGCTAAATTATGGTTCTTGATGTGATTTTTGGGATGGGATTTTGGTTTATGTGCAGAATTTTGGATCTGTATATTCAATTATATTAATTTTTAAGCAAATTAGTAGTTGAATTTTGCAATATGTTTTCATTTGTGTTGGATCTGAGAACGAAGTGGGTCATTTGATCGCCACCATTAGAGATTTCATATGCATGTAATTGATTTTCAAATTAGGGTCGTCAGTTCAAGATTCGTTATTTGCATGTAATTGATTTTCAAATTAGGGTCGTCAGTTCAAGATTCGTTATTTGCATGTAGTGTTCTTTCTTGGAATCTTTGCTCTTTGTGGAAAACTTTGAGGTGCATTTTTCTGGTGTACTGTAAAGTTATTAGCTAAGGCAAATCAAAGACCAAAGAATGATGCTTTCGGGTTTTGAAAGGAATGTGCCACTATTTACATCAGTTAGAGATTAGTTGATGCATTAGAATTAAGTAGATTGGTATTTAATAACGGCATCCACACTATTGGTTTCATATAGAAGATAAGATCAGGGAATTGCCCTTGTGTACTGTGATTTTTAAGTGAATGTGATTGTTTCATGTCGCGGTCATTTGAAGCTGTGCTTTCAGCTGATACTGACTTGTTCCTCTTACAATTACAGATGGTGCAAACTCCTCTTCATGTTGCTGCTGGCTACAACAATGTTGAGATTGTTAAAATTTTGCTAAATTGGAAGGGACTAGAGAAGGTTGAAATGGAAGCCAAGAATATGGTACAGCTTTTTGCACTTTGGTGAATCGTGCTGGGGTGCTAAAATTGCAGCAAGTTGTAAACTTTTTCGTTATCTCGACACCTAATATTAATCTTTTTTTCACAGTATGGGGAGACTCCGTTACACATGGCTGCGAAAAATGGCTGCAATGAAGCTGCTAAGCTGCTTCTTTCTCATGGTGCTTTTGTGGAGGCCAAAGCCAATGTAGCTTACCTTTTCTCTCTCCATTTGTTATATGATTATTAAAATAATGCAGATGACTTGGTAAACCTGCTAGAATCTTTGTAAGACCTCTTACTTATGTCTGTGCAGAATGGAATGACGCCCTTGCATCTTGCTGTTTGGCATTCACTTCGATCAGATGACTGCTCTACAGTAAATACCTTGCTTGAGTATTATGCTGATTGCAATGCTAAGGACGATGTGAGTCAATGGACAACATGCTTACATATTTTCTACTCTCTAAGTTTTAAATGCTAGCTGGCTAATATTCAACAATTGTGTGATGTTTCTGATGCAGGATGGCCTGACCCCTCTGAACCATCTATCACCAGGTCCTGGTAGTGAGAAATTGCGGCAAATATTAAATCAATATCTTGAGGAGCAGAGGAAGCGCAAAGCCCTTGAAACTTGTAGTCAGACAAAATCTAAGATGGATGAACTTGAGTGTGAATTGTCAAACATTGTGGGTTTAAATGAACTCAAATTGCAGTTGAGGAAATGGGCAAGGGGAATGCTTCTCGATGAAAGGCGTAGGGCTCTTGGATTAAAAGTGGGTGCTCGAAGACCACCGCACATGGCATTTCTTGGCAATCCAGGAACAGGTTAGTGCTTGGGTGGTTGGCTGTGGACTGTAAAAAATGTGGTTTTTTATTTACTATTCTTGCCCTTACTACTAAGCCTGAAGGGTGAAGGGACCAGTTGAATGATTATTTTATCGTCATTGCCATAATAGGCAGCTATTCAAAACCTGTTACTTTAAATGGATTAACCCTATTGCCATGGTATTATTTATCTTGTACTATTTCACTGTTGGATGATGATTAGCTGACTGCTCGTATTATGTGATCTATAATTGTCAACAGATTATGAGATTAGAGATAGCATGTGCAATATTATAAGCAAAACATGATGTGCAATTTAAGTATAGATTTTCTGTAAAGCAGTATGTATTATTATGCCAAGCACATGGTAATTATTTTTATAAATTACAAATAGATTATCTTGAATGACTTTTTGTTGTCTTTCTATAATAGAGGAGACCACATCATATGGATAGTTTATCAGATGCAGTATAACAATGACTATTATTTTGCTTGACAGGCAAAACTATGGTGGCCAGAATTCTTGGAAAATTACTCCATATGGTGGGAATTTTGCCAACTGATAAAGTGACGGAAGTGCAGAGGACAGATTTGGTGGGCGAATTCGTTGGTCACACTGGGCCAAAGACTAGGAGAGTGGTATTGTTCTTATCCTTATTCTCTCTTCTACCCCTGCCCTACAAGCCAAATTATTTGAGACTTGATTGTTGATAACTAACTCTAAGCAAATTGTTTCTGGATATTGCGTAGATTAAAGAAGCTGAAGGGGGGATTCTTTTTGTGGATGAAGCCTACCGTCTTATACCGATGCAGAAATCAGATGATAAGGATTATGGATTGGAGGCTTTAGAAGAGATAATGTCAATAATGGACAATGGGAAGATAGTTGTCATATTCGCTGGATACAGCGAGCCTATGAAGCGAGTAATATGTTCCAATGAAGGATTTTGCAGAAGGGTGACCAAGTTTTTCTATTTTGATGATTTTAATTCTAAGGATCTTGCCAACATTACCCATGTAAAGATGAACAACCAAGTTGAAAGTAGCTTATTATACGGATTTAGGTTACATTCTCTCTGCACGTTGGATGCTATTGCAGCGTTGATTGAGAGAGAAACCACTGTAACGCAACGACAGGAAATGAATGGGGGTTTGATTGATCCGATGTTGGCTAATGCTCGGGAGAATTTGGACCTTAGGCTTAGCTTTGATTGTATGGACTCAGATGAGTTGCTGACTATCACATTAGAGGATTTAGAGGCAGGCCTTCGATCTCTGTCAGCTGTCACAGTAAGAAGTCCGGACCAACCAAGAAGGGATTATAAGAAGCTTTAGTTACGAATATTTAAGGGCATAGGTGTCATGATCAATCTTTCGGCGTTCATCAATTTTCTTCCTCAATTCTTTTGTACGGAGTGTTAGATTTGTTCATCACTCCTCTATCCTTGGTGCTGCAGGAAAGGCAATTCTTTTGTCTCTTTTTTTTCCTATTTTTTTTATTTTTTATTTTGTAATCTTTAATTTATGTAGTACAAATCTATATAATTGATTGTAAGATTAATATAATGTAATGAATCAAGTTTCTGTATGAATGAAGGAGTTATTGATTCTTTTGCATTGTCTCAACTCCCAAGCAATTTATCTTTGGAAACCTTAGCCACTAGGCCCGCACAAAACTATCTGAGAATTCGAAAATTCGATCCGTAACCGACCCGAATTTTTGGATATTCGATCCGAAAAAAGCGGATATCAAATGCGGATTTGAATATTGATTTTCGAAATTCGGATATCCGAAATATAAAGGCTGAAATAGTGAAATATATATATAATTTTATATTGCTCATATAAAATTCACCCTGTATTATTAACTTATTATAATATTCTTAATATATTTGATGATGATTTTTATTGCAAAAACACTACTATTTTGTTAAAATATGTTGTACAACTTAGCGATAAAAAAGCGGTAAAATTAGTGAAATTTAAAAAGTAATCACAATCAATTTTACTTCATATTGGATAATGGATATCCGAAGCATCCGATCTGAAAATTTCGGAAATTTTCGAATCGAATTTGGATATCAAATTTATGATATATCCGATCCAAAATATGATTTCGGATCGGATATCCAATTTGTGAATAGGCCTATTAGCCACAACTCACAACACAATGTATAAGAATAGATCTCCTACGATAAGTGATCAAAATCGAAACCTAACACCTCACTTTAGCATTTCATGTCACATTATAAAAAATTTAGAAGAAAAGTGTTAATTTTTAGAGACTTTTCTTGTTGTGATCATGATCATAAAGATTTTTTTTGAGAGTTAGTGTAACCAATACGTCATAGATATACAACTAATACAAGTAAGTGAATTGGAGTTTTATTAGGAGTGCAAGATTAAGTGTTCATGATGCTCATTAGGTGAATTTTTTATTTATTATTATTTTTTTCTTAGGTTTGGTTCTAAGTTATCTATTCATGGTGGTAATAATAGAAAATATGATTTGGTAGGTTGGTCATTATGAGTAAGCTGATAGTTATATCTCCCGCTATATGGAAACTTAACTAATCAGATATTAAATGATACGTCATTTGTAAATATGAGGTGACTACATGTTAATCGAGGAAGGAGGATGACACGTGGCAGAGTCTTGTTAAGAGATAATGTCATTTTAAAATGGATAATGTTATATGCAGCCCTATAAGCATTTAATACAAGAAAGGCTATATATAAGCATTTAATATATTTCCTTTTTAGTACAAAGTTAAGAATTTATCGACAATTCACGAGTAAATCGGTGTAATAAATGTTTATTTATTGTCAATTCTTTCCCCTTTTAGTTTCTTATTACATATATCTTTTTCCTTTTAAAATATGTTTTCAGATTAAAAAATTATAAAAAAAACTACATACAATGTACCCCGTTAATAATCATTATAAGTGTATCAAGCTAATATTGTAATTCTTTAAACCATTGAAAATAACTTGATATAATGAAATAAAGTTGAAAAAAATACTTTGTATTTTGTATTCCATACATATTATCTACAGATTATTTTAAAGAGCTAAGCTAATATTTTATTCCTTTATTTTTTTTTCTTTGCAAAATTTGGTAATAAGTTCGCTGTAATTTTTTTTAGATTGATTCATAAATAAAAAGTCATACGACATTTACAAAGAGACTTATATCTAATAAATACATGACAATTGAATTAAATAAAAACTTCCTTTCAGCAGAGCTACGATCATTGTTGCAAATCGTACATTCTTCATACCCTGTTTCATATCGCTGTGATTTACAGCCTTCTTCGACGAGTGGGTCTATCGATCTGTTGTAGTCGTGAAGAAATTTTTCGTCTGATTCATCTGATTGTAATCGAAGGATTAACTTCTTTTTCGATCCCGCACAAATCTTTACCCATGAAACAACTTGTACCATACTAAACTCAAAAAACAAAACCAAAACTAAAACAAAGCCCACCATAGGGGCACTTACTACACTCAAACCCACTACAGGGATACTTAGAAACTTCAAAAAGTGTAGTTTTATTGAATTTAATAACAAAAACATGAGGAAACTAATGGAAAAGAGTCGAAGGAGAAATTTAGATTTTTCAGCCTTTGAAACTTTTTTTATTTTTTATTTTTTTCTGAAGATTCCTAGAGAGAAAAAAAAAGAGGAGACGGCTAGGATTTTTTATGTTTAAGTTCACTGTCATTTTTTTTTTGATTTATAAGTTCACTGTCATTTCAATAAGTGCAAATTGAATGAATAGAAAAAATAAAGATATTTTATTTTAATTAGGAAAAAAAAAAAAAAAAAAAACAGAAAGAAACAGAAAAAACGAGAACCAGACTAAAATGAAGTAACCGAATCATCTTTCTGTTTCTCTCACAACCATCAACAATGGTAGCTCACTCTCTCTCCATTCTCTCTCCTCTCCCTTCCACCTCTTCTTCTTCCTCCGATTCTCTCTCCTACCCTCAACCTACCCACTTCTTCAATTTCTCTCGCCTGAACCCTAACTTTCTCTCTCCTCCCCGAGCTTTCTCCGTTTTCCGGCAACCGCCGTCTCCGCCGCTGGAAGATGATTCCACGACGTCTTCGCCGGAGCAATTTTTTCAGAACAACTCCATCGCTGATTTCATGAGGTTTCGTAAAAGCTCCGATGGCGGTGATGGTGAATTGCAGACTGCTGTTGTTGGTTTCCGTAAGAAGTTCCCTTGGTCCCTTTTTCGCCCTTTTCTCAGGGTAATTTCCCCTTTTTTGTAATATAAGTGTGATTAGGTTTGTTGATTTTTGATTTTTAAAAGTTTTAATTTGGGGGTGGATTGAATTTTGCAGGTTGATTTGGTTTCTACTATCCACATTGCAGATAAAGAGTAAGTTTTAACCTAAGTCAATTTTTTCTTCGATTTTCTGTGTTTTTGAGATAAATTGATGTGATAATGGGTAAAGAATTGGAGCTTCAGAATTACCAATTTGATTGAAATGAGTTTTAACTATGCCTTGTTGTTGAATTGACTGAACTGAGGAGGTTTTGCAACGCAAACTGAAGTATATATGATACTAAATATATCAAATATAAGCGCGATATATACTAATGTTTGTTAGTTAACTGAATTGTGAAATGGAGGGGTTAGTCAATAGCACTGAATTAGTGCGTTAATGTGGAAAGTTTGAAGCTGTGAATTTTTTTTAAGGATTAAATGATTAAGTAATAGAATAATCCAATGGAGTAGGTTGCTAACTTGCTACACGCCTATACATGTATTATAGGGTGTTTCCAGTAACGCCTCTGACCCTCTGTCGATAGCTGGAGTTTCCGTGTGTCACGAGATTAGCTCAAGTGGTGTTAATATTCTAAAAACAGATTTTGGAGCAGGACTTTCTCCCTTGCAGAGTGGGGATTGTGTTGTTATTAGTCTTATTACTTCAATTCAAAGTTTTTTCTCCCTTTTTTTTAATACTTGCAACAATCTGACTTTTACACTATTTATTTGCTTCACTCTGACTTGCATTGATGATTTATAGCTAAGAAAAAATATAATTATGTGGAATCTTGTTAGATACGTCTCGATTTATATCATTCTAATATCAAATGTTTATAATTTTTACATATTGGTAATTAAAGATTTTTCATTGTATTTCTTGCTGTGTAGTTACTAAGATTTGTTTCTGTTGCTTCAGCTATTAGCTATCTCAGTGTCACTATTCTTGCCTGAAAATTTGTCCGTATTATTTTCAAAAACAGATTTGTGAGTTCTTGTGTCCTCTCTTCTATTCCTTAGCCTCACAAGCAGAGGAGGGGGAGTGGGGAGGGGGGAGTTTGGGAAATCGAACTATGAGATTATTATGCTTTCTGCCCTTGACATGTTATTATTATGATTGACTAAATTAGCTAATTAGCTCTACATTTTGCTTTCTATGAAGAGGATACCCAATAGGGTAGCATGAAGAAAAGATCTTTTAATTAGCCTTTGGTTTATCCAGTGCTCACCCTCCCTCTATGGGGACTATGGCATTCCCTGATTGAGGTGTAAGGTGTAACGTCAGTGTATAGATTAAATTTACTCTTATAGTATCTTTGGATATGAAGATTTGGAGGGTAAGGGAGGGAAACGTAAGTGAGAGGTTTGTTTCCCTTTGGATGTGACATTAGGAAAAGGAAGGGATATGAATTGGAGGGATTCATTTTCCTTCCCCAAAAGTAAACCAAATCCCTTCATTATTGGAGAAATTTGGAAGGAAAATGGATGCTCATTATTTCCTCCCCTCCCATCACTTTCTCTTTTCCCTCTTTCCCTTCAATGATTTTAATCAAACTCACTGTTAGTTTATTTCATCTTACCCAAATCAGTTACTTAACTAGCTCTATTTTATTTTTATTTTTTGTTTTTTATTTCAAGTTGCTCATTTTTTTTTTAATTTTTTGTCACCGATTTTAGTCAGAACTTGTTTGTAAAATTCTTAGGTTTTGTTACTCTCCTTACTGCAGAATTCAGAATGTGTTATATGAAGTATTATATTTTGGATTCTTCAATGGTTCATCATTGAGTCATTTATAAGGAAATTGAAGAATATTGAAGTGAGAAAGAGGAAATGATGGTCAAGTGTTCATTGGAGCTGCTAATAGCATAATGTACTTGTTCCTCAATTTATTTATTTATATTATGTACAACTAGTTTGATTTGCGTTTAAAACATGTCAGCTAAATTAAACTGGAATTCCAACAGATTGGCAAATTTCTAATGCTTGATCATGCACAGCTGGTGACTTATCACTGAGGCCACATATTCTTTATAGTTTTCTCAGGGAATCTAGTTACTTGAGGTTGATTTGTGGTTAAATTGTAATATTACAGTTGTATTTGAATTTTACAACCTGAGTTATTGGATTGAAACTTGTGTTATCCTAATCGTAAAATAATTCTGTTTGTGGGCTGCACTCCACTGCATTCATTGTTCCCCCCTTTTTTCTTTTCCTTTTTCTGGTAGGTGCTGGGACTTGGGAGGTTATCCCCTTTTGTTTTAGTAGGTTTGTTGATGTAGCTCATGTTGCCAATCAATTAGCCTGCAACTGTCCTTAGATATATACTCACTGTGGTCCTCATTCTGATATACCAATGTCTGTTACTGTGCAGATATTTTACTAACTTACAGAAGGAACTTGAGCCATATGACTGTGTCCTTTATGAGATGGTGGCTAGCAGAGAGAGTTTAGAAAATCGTCGAAATGCGGCGACGAAAAGGAGGCTTAAATCTTCGCGCTCACGAGGCTTTAATATTCTTGGATTTATCCAAAGGCAAATGGCTCGAATACTTATGCTTGATTTCCAGTTAGATTGTCTTGATTACCAGGCGGAGAACTGGTACCATGCTGACTTAGATTTTGAGACATTCAGGGCACTTCAGGTACAATATCTGCTCTAAGATTCCTGTGAATTACGGGCTTGTAATGAACATTCTGCTATTGTAACTTTGTTTTGTTTGTCTGTTATCCCATGTTTTGTTGTGTTGAATGTGATTATAGACCATAAAATGCTAAACAATTTAAATTGGAAGCAGTCGAGTAATTGTGTGAACTTGATTAACAACAATTTCAGATATAACCTAGACTCTTAGGCCTTAGCCATGAGGTTTTTGGTTTTGCAATCTCCTTAGAGGAGGTAGGCATGATTGAGCTCGTGAATGTTGGCAGTTGAAAATGACAGAAAGAGAGGCTCAAACTTGACATATTTTTTTTAATCTTTAAATTCTTTCAGATGGAAAGAGGTGAAAGTTTATTTACCTTTGCAAGAGATATGACCCTCAAATCGACTAAAGCCTTGATACAACCGGAGATTCCTGAAAATCTTGACCCTTGGAGATCCAAGCTTTTATGGGCATCTCGTGTACTTCCTATGCCACTTGTGGGCCTTCTTATTATTGGAGGCATCTGTACTGATGTTGGAGGCCAGGTATCAGAATACCCTGAGCTTGATGCTTTGTCTCGGCTTGATTTTGGTGCTGCAATGAAGGTTTTCCTGGCGAAGCGTCTCACATCTGAGTAAGTATATGGCATGATTTTCTATATATATGCAACTACACTTCATGAATTATCAGCACGCGTTTTTTTTCTTAATTTGAATAATGAATATACAACTATTTTTTGAACTGTTGTTGAATATGAACTGGCCATTTAAAAAAATAATAATAATATTTAAAATGTTGAAGATGGTCCTGCTTAACTTTGAAGAGCAAGTGGAGTCAGTGAAAAGTGTGTGCACTACTACCTCTCCCATTTAATTCAAAGTTTTTACAATTGAGTTCATGACGTATTGGAAGATTGTGTGTATTGCTGAGAATGCAAGATCACAGGATATCTGAATAGTCTGATTTAAGTGCCATTTGCTACTCTGCAACAAATATACAAGGAATTTTGGAGCTATAATAATGATGTCTAACTAATTGTTAAGTGATCTATGGAGTGTCTTCATTCTGCAAGCTTGGGCATCCTAAGTTCGGGCCCTATTACAAAGATTGAATTAAGATTGTTCTTTGCTCTGTTTCTCCTCCTTGTTCACTTACAAAAATAAAGTTACGACTGTTTGATTAATTAATAATTAAAGCCATTGTCACACAAAACATAGGGCTGTTATGAAAGTAATTTTAGTAAAGCTCCATGTTAGTCTCATACTGCAGCTGTAGCTAAACTTTTTGTGCCAGTTGTAGCTGAACTTGGGGGGTTGGATTGGGGCCATCCTTTGGTTTGGACCTGCAGTAGACAACATACAATATAAGTTGGAAGGCACCGAGTATTGCTCCAAATGCATTGCTAATCAGAATATAGGGATCAAATCTGAGAATATGCACTCCAGACAATTTCATTAGCAAATCCAGTTAGGGATAGAGACAGTGGCATGAATTTCTCGTCTTGATAACGTTCCACATAGCAGTAAGTGGTGCTCCGTAGAATACGATCCCAAAGATATTGCAGAATACTCCCAGAAAGTTGGATCTTGTTGTCTGGTTGTGGAATGCTAGAAGCGTGACACTAGCTGAGAAAAGTTGAACCCCCAACTCAGCACTAAGACATACTTTAATTTCATTCCTTTTACTATTCACTGTATATATCCAGTATACAATGACATAAGCAACATTCATAAAGAGACCAATGCAGTTCATGGTTGTGACTGGAATGCTATGTGGGTGTACAAATGGCATAGAATAAAAAACCCACAGGATGCAGTTCATTATCCCAGCAACATAAGGGTGAAATGTGAACTCCTCCACTGATTTTTCTTCAGGAATCTCCAAATTGTAGGCATTGGTGATGCAAGTCGGATGAATGAAGTTAAGTTGCCAATAATTCCAAGAATGGTATGAACACCATTTACATTCACCATTTTGTTGTCTTTAATAACTTGCTGAAAAAGAAACCTGCCAAATCAGAGAAGGATATTAACCAGTCAAGTATGAGAGAATTCAGAGGAAAACTCTTAATAGTAGGCAGTTAAATGCTGAAATTTTTTCCCAGACCTTTTTTTTTTTTTTTTTTCCTTTTTCTTCCTGTGTGCTCTTTCTTTCTTTATCCTTTTTGAGGTTAGTCCACTTGAAAGTAGGAACTTAGTCAACTTGAAAGTACGAACTTGAGTTGAGTCTTTGATGCTTACCAGCATTCTACTCGGTTATAAACTTATAATTGCTTGTTTTGGTTTACCTTGTATGTTCTCATACCAAGGAGTAATTTAACTAATGAAAAAATGTTCCTATGTGAAGGTTCACGCTAGGGACAGCAGATGTGGAAGAAAAATCAGTTATCATTGGTGAGAGAAACAAGGCAGCAATAGATGCACTTCAAAAGGCTATTGATGAGGGCCATAATAAGATAGCCATACTGTATGGCGGTGGGCACATGCCAGATTTAGGGAGGCGATTAAGGGAGGAATTCGACTTGGTACCTACTCAAGTTCAATGGGTAACTGCCTGGGCCATAAGGAAACGAGCTTTACAAAGCAACTCTTTCTCTTTTTTGAGGACCTTAGCTGAGATCTCCGGCTGGCCATTAAATCGTTATCAAACCTTAGCACTCCTTATCTTTTCCTCTGTCCTTGCGTTGGATCTTTGGTTTTGGGAGCTGTTCTTTGGCAGTGCTGCTAATTGGATTTCTGAAATTGCAGCAGAAGCTGGACAGTATATAGGCATTTGACGACTTGGCTTGATGATAGATGGGGTAAGGCTTTGTCGATGACTGGTATATGGGAGGTTCCATATGTGCATGTGTAAATATTGCAGTAAGATACAGTGACCGTTACCAAAAACAAGCAACCATTCATCTCATGGGAGCTAAACTATGGCAGAATGCCAATTTCATTTCAATACCTGTACAATTACAGAGTACTTTTCTCATTGTACCTCACATGTATTCTTTTGATAGTGTCTAATAAATCAAGGTTACCAATATTTTAACAATTTCTGTTTTAGCAAGGCCATTGGTTTGGAAAATTGGCACAAGTACTTCTGTCGGAGGACTGTGGCAGATATAGGAATATAGTAAAGCACTTCGTTTCAAGATCGAGTGGATAAGTTGCATAACACAGTCCAGAATCGTGCTTAAACAGTTTGAGCTTTATAACCAGTCTGTTTAAGGGGTATATTCATGTATTGTAGATAGTCAAATGAGTTTTCATACTGGTGATTTTCTTACATTACCACCACCACCACCTACATCAATATCGTAACCTATTTCAACGATGGAGTCAACTACATGAACAAAAAATTTCGGCTACAAATGATTGTTAAACCTTACAGAATAAAGAGCTATATAAATTTTTTTTACGTTGGCTAGCCAATCGATCTTATCTACTTTGACTGACATATCAATCAACACTGAAATCATGCTTCTTAAATGGAAGACTTTTTCAACACATCAACACCAAGCTCGTCATCAACACCAAGCTCGTTATCTAGAATATACGATAACCCTTTACAGCCATACATGAAAATGTTCATTTCACAGTAATATTTACACTAGTGATGCCGACTCTTAGACCCTTGATTAAAACAAATACATTTGACATGGATTTAAGGATTTAGAAAAGTTAGTCCTACCTCATACCTCTTGACTCAACATAGATCAACCGCGCTAACTCTTTACAACGTTCCCCTGAAACAAAGGAGAGTAACCTATTTGAAAGTGCTAGTGTTGCACCATGTGAGTAGTGCAACTATTGTACGATCAAGTAATTTTTAGGCAAAGCACTAGGTGTATGAGCTATTTGATTCCATTCACTAGTCTTCGAAGTTTTTTTCTTAAGCATTTTGTCTAAATTAGTTTCAGTTTTCACCCGTGCTTATGAATTTTGTAATCATAGTAAGTTTTAACTTGTGTTTTAAGAAGCACGTCGTTTATGCTAATTTTGTGCTTTAATTTGTAACAACACAATTCTTAAGATGAGAAGTGTTGCTCAACATGTTGCATAGTGCTAGGAATTACAATGAAAGGGAAAGTTCAAAATCAATCAACATCATGTTTGTTGAGATGCACAAATCTAATCTATTCATCCCACTCCACTAGCTAGTAAAGTGATCAATAAACCAACTACGCTTTAACCCAAGATTCAAATCAATAAAAGGGGAAAGAAAAGCTGGAAAATTGGTTTGTGGGATATTAGTAAATCTCTATCATCTGAAAATGTTTCTTTTTTTAGTCTTTAGTTTTGGTGCGCTCATATTCTATCTGTTCAGGTTTTAAAGATATAAAAAAGGAAAAAGCTCAATTGTAGTCATGCTAAGCTCTGGAGGTGGACTGTTTAGGTGTTACCACCACAAAATTTATAAACCTTTACTTTAGTGACTTTAGTCTATAATTTTGACTCAACATTTAAGGCCACTTCAATGAAAGGATTTTTTTTTTTTTTTTCTTTTTTCTTTTTTTGACACCCTTCAATAAAAGGATTTGATGTATGTTCTATGGTGTATAATTGCATTACAAAAAGGAAAAGATATAAACATGTTGATTTATTTTATTGTATTTAATTTTTTTTGCCGATTAAATTAGTTGACATAATTTTATTTATATTATTTAGATAAACTGACATTATTTATTTCAAAATGGAAATTCCTTACTATATGTTTGTACAATGATCATATTTCATGTTTAACAAATTTGTTTTGGCTTCTAACCTATAGTCATGATTGCTATAACTTTGATTTTTTTGGTAAGAAGAACAGCTATACTAGGTCAGTTGGTCATGAGTCGTGACATCTCCCAACAATCTCAAGTAAGTTACAAATTAAATCTAGGTTAATGGGGATCAAACCTATAATTTTAAGGTTATAAGGTGAAACTCTTACCAACTACGTAGCACACCAAATACTGCTTGGTGATGAACATCAATTGCGGATCTCAACAAATCTTTGTCAATTTTCGAGATTAACCTATACCTATTCCTCAAACACATCCACCGACCTCCTCTTTCCCACCCCAAATTTTCACAAAATGATCATGTATCTCATCTAGCTTCAAAAAGAAAACAGGTTGTAGTTGCATTCGACATGCTCATTTGCCTTAGGGTAAATTTTCAAGATTGAAGTCGTGAAAAATATGAAATCATTCATTATGAACAAAATTACATCAAAGTACTCCTTAATACATTATGAGACATCATATCAATTTAAGCAAAAATAGAGAGACTTGCCTTGTAATTTGAATTCTTGATCAAAAGCGCGCAACTCTTTGCTATTCACGTACCCCCCACAAATTGCAATGGAAATCAAAAAAACCAGCACAGTACAACTCCTTATACAAATTGATTAGAAATGAAGTCTCTAGAATCTTTGTTTCTATTGGAAATAGATTATGAGAGTAATCTTGTTTCAAAAAATAAAATAAAAATTATGAGAGTAATCTCACGTCTGTAAATTCAATCTCTATAATTTGAAAAAAAAAAAAAAAAGAGCAATGTTGTTAGGAGATATTTTGGAATATCTATTATGTAGGAATATCTTTTCCAAAGGTTTTGAATTAGTTTTCTTGTAACTTAATTGTATAGATACTCTTCTTTGATGTATGTGATTAATAATACTACCTCCGCCCGAGGTTATCTGCAACAAAGGACAATATTTCGGACTCCTAGGCAAAACTTTTAGGGGAGTATTAATTGAGTTTTGGTGGGTTTAATTAATGAGAGAGAAAGGTAAAAATACAAAATTACCCATATGATGATATATATAAACTAAACATTTAAGTGTTGAAAAATAAGGGTATATTTGGTATTTGTAGTGTGAACACAAATATTTGTAGTGGGTTTTAGGTAGTGGGTAATAGGTGGTGGAGGGGACCACTAACCAAAAAAGTGGATAAATAGTGGGTAATTAATAGTTAAATATTACCCAAAAAGGAAAGAAAAAAATTTGTTGCAAATAATATAGAGCACCCATTTTAAGTAAATGTTGCAGATAATTACGCGGCGGAGGGAGTATATATTAATAATTTTTTTATTGAATAATATATTCATAATCATACCTTAATATTAACAAAAAGAATACGGAAATACTCCCTCCGTACATAAAGAATACCTTAATATTTAGGAATAAATATTAGAAATAGGCCACTAATTTAGGGACAGAGGGAATATTATTTAGCAATGTATGTTTGATTGCTACAGTATAAATACAAATTATACAATTATATCATTTATTCCGTCAAAAAAAAAAAAAAAAAGTTAAGTAGTAAGTACGATTGCACTAATTCTTTTGACTAGCCATTCCCAAACATCGTGAACCATTAAATGGCATTTTTAATTGAGAGGGATTTAAGTTAATTTCGACAACTAATTTCAAACAAAAACATCATCCTAGTATTTGCTTTGCTGGAGTAACAAATCTATTTTATTTTTAGAAAGAACGAACAAAGTTGCATGCATATTTCATATTTGTGTAGTTTTATGACTTGTATCCCATTATCTAGTCAATACAACTTGGTTTGGCTCAATTTGAGGAAATATATACGAAGTAATTAAAGGGTATAATATACAGACACATGGGATCATTCAAGCTACTATAATTATCCAACCTTTAGAGAATATTATTTGAAAAATTATAAAGCAAAAAATGAATTCAACAATAATGAAATGGGTAATGCTATATGTAGACATGTAATCCTTAGGGCTACAAATAAGCATTAAATATCTTTTTTTATTTGGTATTAGTTTAGGAATGCATGACAAAATAACGCGCAAATCAGTGTAATTAATGAAGATATTTCCCTAATACTTTCTTCTTTTAGGACTATGTATAGCATTTTCCTAATGAAATACATAGTCTTAAAAAAAATATTAAAAAAATAAATAAATAAATTACGACATTGTAAGCCTATGGCATAAATTGCCAGAATCATAACTTCTATCAGTCTAAAATCAAGCATAAAAGCTTTTAAGAAAGTGCCAAACCATTATGAAAAAGACTAGAAAAAGAAAATGTGACAATCCTAAGAGCAATATTTGGTGGAATGTCATGTAATAGTATACCAAAAACATCAATTTTTTTCTTTTTCTTTATTTTAAATGTTTTTCTAAAGGTTGAAAGGGATTTAGACTAATTTAAATACCCAAAAGGATTTTTAAAAAATGAATAATTGATTCTCAAATTATAGAAACCATTATAATTACATTGGATACTTCTGACAAAGTGCAATTTGGAGCTCAGTTGTATGAGTATGAACTATGAAGGCCTTGAATCTTAATGGCTATGTTTGGCAATTAGCTTTAAGTTGTTTGTTTTTAGTTGGTTGTATCAAATGGTTTGACTGTTTGGGTAAAGTATTTTGTAAATGCTTCATTTTCAGCTGATAACTAATTTTATTTAGTAAAATGACTAGTAGGGATATTGGAATAATTTACGACAAGGAAAATAGTTGAGAATCTTTGGTAAAGAGTAGTAAATTTGATCAACTTATAACTCCTAACTTCCTACAATAATAAGCTTTTTTGATCAAGACCAGTTTGTTTAACAGTTGACCTCAAAGTCTCAAACCTCAACTCTTTTTCAATCCCTTTTCAAAAAAAAAAAAAAAAAAAAAAAATTATTTGGAGGTTTGGACTAGTTAGAGATTTCTTTCTACGTACCAAAAACGTCGGCTCTCTGAACCATACACCATCAATATCTTTCTTACCATACAAAAGTTTTTTTATTTTTTATTTATTTATTTGTTTTTTGTGTGTGTGACAAAGATTCACTCAAAAGAAAGCAAACTAGAAAAAGTAACGAAGAAGCCGACGCTTCCTAGCTGAAGTCGCAAGACGATGAGCTGGCAAAACAGCATCCCGGGAAACCTTCTTTATGAAGTAGACTGTAAAGGCGGATAGGATGTCCCGAAGCTGTTGCTGAACCCAAACAGTCGAAATGTTGGTGATACCTTCTGCACGGAGACTGAAAAGAGTGGCCATACAATCAGTTTGAATCTGCACATG